GGCTCTCTCAGTCAGAGGAGGTGGGAGCTGGCCATGTACCATGCGGAATGGAGAGCGGAAGCAAAGGAAGGTGATTTTCTTCTATTTTTACTCCCAAAAAGTTTTCTGTAGTCTGCAGGTCCTTTCTTCAGGAGTGTGTGTTGGGGAGGTGGAGGGGAACAGCCCACCTCATCCTTGTTCCCTTCCCCCTCTCTCTCTCCTGCCTCTGTGCCATGGCCTCCTTGCCAAGCAATCAAGAGAAATGGCAGATGGAGGCAGGAGGGTATGGAGAGCTTGCCCCTCAGCTCTGGAACCAGCAGCAGCCAGATGACATGCAGCCAGGGAAGCCAAGAGGCACAAGAGCCTTGGCCTGCAGAGACCAGGCCCCTCCCACAGAGCTCCTCTTTGCTTTTGAAAAACACAGATATGGAGGCTTTATGTCTACAGACACTGTGGACCCGAATCCGACCGGAAGGCACACTCGGAGATGATGGCATCATTAACACCAGCTTCAACTTGACGTAAACCTAGAGCCGCCTGGAAAGAGGGAACCTCCATTGAAGAGCTGCCCAGATCAGGCGTGTCTGTAGGACATTTTCTTAATTGCTACTTGATCTAGGAGTACCCAGCCCACTGCTGGGGATGCCAGCCCTGAGCAGGTAGTTCTGGGCTGTATAAGAAAAGTAGTGGAGCATGCCAGAGGAAGCATTCCTCCACGGTCTCTGCTTGAGTTCCTGAATGACTTCTCTCAGTGGTGGACTATAATCTGTAAGATGCAATAAACCTCTTCTTCAAGTCTCATGTGGTCAGAGTTTCATCACAGCAATGGAGAAGCAGGCTAGAACAGACCCCAAATGCAAAAGAAAAGCCTGTCTTTTCCCAAGCCATGCGACCTCCCAGTTCAGCTTCTCCCTCTAGAGTCCAACCTCTGTGCAAACGCAGTGTGTGTGTGCGTGTGTGTATGTGCGCGCGCACACTTGAGCTTGCCCCAGGCTGCCAGAGGAAACAATCTCACATGTAGTAGCAGATCTTAATACTCTTCATTATCTCAAGTCACCTTCTGAGGCATGTTTTGGTGTCAAGTGAGTGTTGGGGAAGCTGTGATAACACGGTAATTTACTAAGAGCGTGGCACGGAAGAGCGTGATTATCAGGTACGTCAGAATGGGTCCCTGGGTGTTCCTGCCAGAATGCTACTCCTCTAGCAGTGGCTCTGGCACGGAGCAGGCTCTATATACACCTAGGGATCGCTCCCATCCCGCCACTGGCAGCTACCCTGACTCCCATGGGCATGGCGGGAAATCCCACAAGCATCCACCCAACCCAGCAAGAACCAGGGTTGGAGGAAGGAGAGTGAAGCAGAATATAAAAATCAAAAAAGAGACCCTGCCGCCTCAGACAGCAGCAGACTTCAGAGAGGCAGCAGAAAACAAGATGTTTAGGCTGCCTGAATGTTTCATGAACCTGTGAAAATATCGGGCTGCTTTAGAGAATAAGGGGTGGTAGGCAGCTAATCAAAAAGATGTTGGTGCAAATGGGAGGTGTCTGCGAAGCTGGGGCCCACGCAGGCAGGAAGACCTGCAGCAGGTGAGGACGCGGGGGAAAGGCGGGCTCCCCGGCAGAAACGGCTCCATGCAAGGGGGGGGGGAGCTTTGGAGATGGTCTCCACCCTCCCCCTTCACTTGTTTAAAAATAAAAAATTCCTCTCCGTGCGTCAGCTGCGTGCCAGGCTCCATTTGTCTTTATAACAGAGTACCAGGCAGGAGTGAAGAAGATAAATAAACACAGAGAGACAACCAACCAAACCTCACTGGCTCACCGATGGACTGGGGGAGGTGAGCCTCGTGCCGCAGTCACTGAGAAATAACATTTCAATCTTGATCCATGCCCACCGACAGATTCGCCTCCCCTTACTGCCCCAGTTATCCCCCTCCCTGGTCACTGGTCATCCATGTTCCCCCTATAGTCTCCCCTACACACACACACACACACACACACACACACACACACACACACTTCTATGTTTGACAGATGCTCTACTGGACCAAGCCTTCCTGTTCAATTCCACAGTCTTTCCAGGTCCAAAACATGTTCTGCACTGTGGGGGAGGGAAGGGCAAATCAACCAGACCCTTACCCTGAGGAGCAGGGCCTAAGCTACCCAGCAAGGGAACAGGATACCAGCTCATGCCCAGACATCCAGTCCTTCCTTCTCTCTTGAGTGGCTGCACACTGGGGAACGGTTCCCAGGAGGCCTCCTTGCTGTAATTACCTCTGCGATGGCCTGGATTGCCCTGACCCTGGTGACACAGGGTCTTCTCCTCTACCCTCCAAGCAGGGTGAGGACCAGCATGCCCCGTCTCAGTGGTCCTAGGACACAGGCAGAAGTGGCAGGAGAGTGGAACAGGGGCAGCTAAGCCCTGGACCTGTCCTTGGTGCTGCCGCCCTCTGCGCGGCTGCGTGCAGGTCGGCCTTCGCTCACCCAGACCAGCTGCGGCTCTGCCTGAGGTCGTGGAGCTTTTGCAGGGAAGGCAAAGAAATAACATTGCTGGAGGCCCGACCTATAGGGACTTTCCTAGACTTTGGCATCTTCCTATGTCTTAGGCGACCTGACTGGGGGAAGGAGGTCGGGGGAGAGGAACACTTAGGTATCTCTTAGGCGTAGGCCTCAAGGAGGACAGCACAGAGTAATTGTCCAGGTTCTCTTTCATTGGCAGGAATGAAAAGGCGAGCAGAGCAGTGAGAAACATTGATTCTGTACCAGAAATCCTCAATGGCTCTGTGCAAACATCCTGCACGACCTGGCCCACCCTCCCCTGGCACTCAGTTGCCTCCCTGGGAGCATCTGATGGGGCCTGACGTGCCCCCTGCAGCTCTGCCTCGGCTCTCTAGTCTCTTGTAGGCTCCCCATCTACCCCCTCTCCGTCATCCGCGTGGGGACAGCCCAGCATTTCCAGAAGCTCCAAGTCTAGCCGGGAAAGGAGGGGTTAAGCGCTGCTTCTCCGAGTGTGCAGTGCGCTCAGCTCCCACGCAGGGAGGCCTCTGGTCCCCACGGAGGGCGGAGGCGGCTGTTCGGTCCTCCCTCCGGGCCCAGGGGAGCTCCCTGCCCGCGGGAGATGGAGGGTCGGGTCCTGAGAAGGCACCCCCTGCCCCATGCGCCCACCCTGCAGCAGCCCTGGCCGCCTGGCAGTCACCAGCGCCCCGCTTCCATCAGCAGGCACCTTCTCTGCAACTTTCTCCTTCCCAATAGTCGCTCACCTGAAGGATCTGGTTTTAATTAGTGTAATATCCCCGTTACCAGCTCGGTCTGATTAAGACATCCGCCCCGATCCGCGACGCGCACTTAATGAGCACGTTCTGCTGTAATGTTTGTACTCCCCCCCCCCCCCATTTTATTTTTCAGACCAGTAAACTAAAGCTGGTTTCTGCTGAAAGATCTCATTACCTGAGACCCTACTTTATTAGCCCCATACCTGCCCGGACGCTCTGGGCCCCCAGCCTCCCCGCTGCGTCCCGAGGTGTTCCCAGCCTAGCCAGCGTTTGTGACAGAAAATTAACGACCCTGCGCGCACCAGAAGGCACTTCACCTCCAGCTGGAGGAGGAAGGGACTTGCCCAGAAGGAAGGATCCCTTAGTCCCGAGCCTTAGCTTCCACTGTGGGTGTCTCTCACGCGCATCAAGAGACTACAGACGCCACGGGCGTCCTTTTTAAAAGTGACCATTAAATAATTAGGTGCCTCTGAGAAGCAGAATCCAAAAGGGGGAGCTGGGAGGTGCCTCTACCATCCAGGACTCTTCTCACCTCGATGCGCTCTCCCCAACACACACACACACACACACACACACACACACACAAGCCGACGACGACGTCAGTGGGCTTCAGTAACAGCCAACCCCCAACCTCATGTGAGACCCAGGATCCTGGGTCGGCTCCAGCTATCTAATAGGGGTCTCAATGCCCCTCTGGTGGCCGTACCTTGCTCCGGGTACAGACTGGGTGCGGGACCAAATCAGCCAGGACACTGAGGGGATGCGTGTCAATGAATAAGAGCGAAGCTTCCCCACAGAGCCCCCAAATGAGCGCCCACCTGAAGTCAACCCCTGACGCCACTCTCCCGAGGAGAGCCCCAGGCAAACCCCACCGCCTTCTGTGGCCACTCAGAAAGTTTGGGCAAGGGGTGTGCAGGCCACCTTAGCAAGGCTTCCCTAGCCAGGCTGTCCCAGCCCTGTAGCTGCGCTGAAGCAAGCAGCAGCCTCAGATCCATGCTCACGCTGCCACTGGGAAGACTCAGCCCCGAGCGCCCCCAGCTCGCGGGCTGGAGGGCCCTGCGCACCATCCGCTCTCGCTGCTCAGTTCCACGCACGCCGGGGCGCTGCGGGCCCTGGTACCCCCAAGGGAATCAAGGGAGACCTTAGCCATCCCACAACTCCTTAGTGTCTTAGTCCTTCGGTCGGTTCTCCTCCCGCTGGACCCCAGCAGCCCTTCCTGGCCTAGGAGTGGCAAGAGTCTCACGCCGCAGCGCAGCAGGGTCGCCAGCCCCGTTTCCAGCCGCGCGGGTTGGGGCCGCCTCCCAGATGCGCCCCGCGGGCCGGGATCTCCGCGCGCCACGGCTTCCCCTAGTCTGGGAGTTCCCAGAGCCGGGCATTGTGCCGCCGCCGCCGCCGCCGCCACGGCCACGCAGCGCGCGGGACTCCCCGGTGTCTCCATGGAGCCTGACCTCGGGCCTTCCCATTCACAAAATCTCCCCTCTGGTTTCCCGGCTGAGCCTGGAGCCGCGACCTCAGCCCCCGCAGAACTCGGAAACCCCGACCTCGCACGCGAACCCTTGACCCCCAAGGGCGCCACCCTTTCCCCATGCGACCTCAGGTCTGTCCCCTGTCTCGCTCCACAACCCCGCGTCCTCGCCGGCCCCGCCTCCCACTGCGGGGTCCCGCGCGCCCCTCCCTGGGCCGTACCCACAGCCCCAGCCGCCTCCTCGAGATGGTCGTGACCGAGGTGGAAGCCCAGGGTCTGGCTACTCACGGGTTCAGCGCTCCCCGCGGCAGGTGACTGGGCCCCGGCGGCCATGCCCCAGCTGCATCCCCGCTGCCCCGGCAAGCCGGCGGCAAGGGACGCGAGAGGCCGGCTTGGAACGGTGGTGGCGGCGGCGGCGTCTCCGGCGTCCACAAGAGCTGCTGAGGCTGGTGCCCGGCTGCTGTCCGAGGAGGTTTCCGCTGGCTCTAGAGGAACGGCTCCTGCTCCGTGTCCCCGCTCCGCTTGCCTCGCCGACTCTCTCTCTCTCTCTCTCTCTCTCTCTCTCTCTCTCTCTCTCTCCTCCCCCCCCCCCCCCACCCCGTTCCTCTGGCTGGCTCGGCTGGAGCGAGAAGGCAGCAGGAGCACGCGGCGGCGGTGGCGGTGGTGGTGGCGGCACAGGGAGAGCGCGCAGCTCTGCGAGGGAGGGAGGGGGCTCCGGCGGTAGCACGGCTAGGGAAGGCAGCGGGGCAGGGAGGGCCAAGAGCTAACGGAATGTGGCCACAGGAGCCCTGGAGTCCCAGCGCCAGTCTCGTATAACAGGGATGCGTAGGGTGGTACGACTTGCAGGGTACCCTAGAGCCCAGTGGCAGCTGGGTTCTTTCGAGCGCCGCCCCCTCCCCTCCCCGGGGTCCCACCTCCCCTCCCTCCTTCCCTTCCTCTGAGCGACCTCAATGTGAGTCAGCCCTAGCGACACTTAGCAGGACCCCTGCACCCCCATCCCGTTGGAATTGGTTTCTTTTGCTCTACCCAGGGGTCCCTAGAAAGACTTGGTCTCTGAGCGGCAGGAATGAATGTCCCCTCCCCCACACCTCTCCAGCCAGTCTGCTATGCCCGCGCCTCCTAACTGGCCGCTAGGGAAGACCCTTAACAGGCCTGGAGTTTCATGCCTTGCCTTCCTGAGAATCACAGCAAAGGGAGCAAGGAGGCCTACCCCGGCACAGGACACGGAGAGGGTGCTATACTTGTTCCCACTGACAATGCGTGCCCTTAAATATTCCTATGGCCTGAAATCAGAAGAGTGTAAATTATAGTTCTCAGCCTCCCCCAACCCAGAGAAAGGGAGCCTAGCATAGGGTCCGAGGTCTGGCATCTCTAATCCTGGAAAGGGAGAGAGGCTGGGCAGAGAGCAGCCCCTCTGGGGCCCGCATGATGAGGCCCAGGTATAACAGTGGGGTCCCTGGCACTCAACTCCAAAGGTCAGCAAAGGGTCTAGACGGTTCCCAAAGGGTTGGACTAGACCTGGCTACTATGCTAATCTAGAAGATCAAAGTAAAAGGCAAGCACCATGCATGCAATGCCTGGACTGGGGGACCTGCACTCTCAAGGGACATTGCCAGTCTGAAAACAAACAGATCAAACTCCGTGCTCCAGGTTGCTGGGTGCTGTTTCTAGAACAACCATCTTCCTCTTGCCCCTAACCACAGCTTTCAGTCTGAGGCCCACATCATGGAAGCTGGGGCTTTGTGGTCAGGGGGATTAGAACGGAGGGGTGAGCAGGGCTCTGGGGTGCTCTCTGGCTCTGGGCTGCCTTCCCGGAAGAGCGAGGCTGCCTGCTCAAGGCCTTTTAATTTCTAGTCCTATGGCCTGTCGGGACCATTGATCTGTCTTGCCCAGTGGGAATCATATGCTTCAGGAGAAAGTGAGAGAGCCTGGCCCTGCAATCAAACTGGCTTGTCCCTGGGACAGTCATGGGGGTGACTGAATGTACCCAGCCCCAAATTTGAGATGGCGCAGCCCTGCCCCCACAGACCAACTGTTTCTCTCTGTGTGATCAGGTGACCCAAGCTTTCATAGCCGGTGACTGCTAGCTAGGCCCATCCCCACCACCTGGTTCACCTGTCTCTGCTCCCTGAGCCAACAATGTCTGCCCCTCGAGGTTCTTCTACCCTGAGAGCCCACCCATCCCCCTTGGCCCAGTTCCCACTGCCCTTCTGGTCCTGTTCTTAGAGGCCCCCAGAGATCAAAGTCTGGCTCCCCATACCGCACTTCGTGCCGGGGAATATTACCTAGAAAATCTGTGAGCTTCAAGTGGAGGGGCCCAGGACAGAAACTGTTGTCTCTCACCTGCTTCTGGAGGCCGTTCCCAGAAAGGTCTGCAGATGGCATCAGGCAGGTTCCAGCCAACATGGAGCAGGCAGCCACTCAGAAAGCATGGTATTGAACTGATACTGCTCCCCCATCCTGGGGCAGCCACATAGCCTGCCCAGTAAGTTAACCCTCAGAAACAGGCCCCAGGGTATGTGCCCGGCAGGCCCAGCTGCCATCAAAGGGTGGGCAGGGCCTATGTATCCATAGGGACTAAGCAGAATGTCTTCCCACTAGGAATCACCCAGGAGAATTTTGTTTTTAAATTAATGGTGGGGGGGGTGGGGGGTGGGGGGGGATGGGTGCCAGAAGAGTGTAGTGCCCTCAGAGACCACAAGAGGGAATCAGATCTCCTGGGGCTGGACTTAGAAGCAGCCATGAACCTCCTGACTGGATGCTGGGACCCAAACGCTGATCCTCTGGAAGAACAGAATGTGCTCTCAAACATTGAGCTATCCCTTGTAGGGAAGACCCAAGAAAAGGAACCCACCCCCTCACGGTCACTAGGAAGGAAGCAAAGATGGCTCCAGTCCAGCTGTTACAACCATGCAGCTCAGCCTCAGGAAAACTCACAACACCACAAAAAGAGACTTTTTCAAAGTATTGTGCTTGTCAACCTGACAGGATGTAGAAGGAGCTAGGAAACAGGCGTCCGGGTGTTTATGAGCCTCTAAAGCAGTGGTTCTCACCCTTCCTAACGCTGTGACCCTTTAATAAGTTCCTCACGTTGTGGTGACCCCAACCATAAGATTATTTGTGTTGCCACTTTATCACTGTAATTTTGCTACTGTTATGAACCGTAACGTAAATATCTGGTATGCGGCCCCTGTGGGTTTGCGACCCACGGGTTGATAACTGCTACTCTAGAGGGAGTTGATTTGTGAAGATCCACCCCCATATGGTTGATTCTATCCTATGGACTAGGGTCCTCCATTCGATCAAAAAGAGGAATGGAGCTGAGTGCCAGAATTCATCTCTCTCTCTGCCTCCTGGCTGAGGATGTGGGGTGACCAGCCACTCACACTCCTGCTGCCATGCCCTCCCCACCATGGTGGACTGTACCCCCAAACTGTGAGTCATGGTAGACTCCTCCTTTGAGTTGCTCTTCTCGTGTATTTTGGCACCATACATGATGTCATACATGTCCTCATACAAGCAATGAGAAAAATGATTACTGCTGCTCTGAACCCCTCCCCACGAGCATGTGAGTGGAGCAGAGGAGACAACCACGTACTGTGCCTTGCTGGAAAGAAAGGACTGGAGGCAGTCTAGGGATCTGGGTTGAGTCCTGCCTGCTCTGGTTACAGACCAGCACCAGAGTCCTAAATGCCTGGGAAACCAAGGGCCCAACTCGGCCCCACAGGCCAGATAACCTGACCTCTCTGGATCAGGAGCCAGGGTCTGTCCTTGGGACTCTCTCCAGTCACAGAGAAGAAACCTACACCTACCTTTAGGACTCCAGGCCAGAAGCACCAGGGCTCAAGCCCCACTAACACTGAAGGTCAGCTCTGCAGGCCCCTCCCCTAAAGCTGAGAGCCCAGGCTCAACAGAGCTCTAAGGACAGCCTCTGGAAAAGAAAACCACCAAACAACTCCTCTGGAGGGAGGAGATGATGGGGTGATGGGGGGGGGGGCTTGGAGGAGACAGACATTGGGCAGGGAGGAGAAAATATCAGAAATAGACATATTTAATATCCTCAAAGAGATCAGAGGAGATATTGCAACCAGAACCAGGAGCAGGATGCTATTTTAAGAACATTTAGAGAACAAAAAAGGCCGGGGAATTAAAAGCATGCGAGCCGAAACAAAAAAACTCAGCAGACTGGTTGGAAGATAAAAGTAACCGAATGCTCCAGAAAGCAAAGCAGAAAGACAAAGGGGGAAACAAGAAAGGAGGAAAAATTAGATGGTGTGCTCATGAGCGCTGGCATCCACACAAAGGAGCGAGAGAAAGAGGGAGCATCACAAATTATTTAATTCAAGAAATTTCCCACACAATGGATAGGAATTGACCCACGTCACAGTATATTCTCACGAATACAAAACACTGAAGATGAAAAGAAAAATAAATCTCAAGTTTTCAGGTTCCATGAAAAACAGCAAGAATAGGCAAGGCTCCAGGAGTCTCAACGGGGCACGCTAACAGATACCAGATTCTGGAGCTATGCTTTCAGATACCAATGGGTAGTGATTTCTGGTCCAGCATCCCTTGCTTAACCTGCACAATCAAACATGAAGTCAGTCAGAAAAAAGACACTCACACAAGCAATGCTGCAAAAAAAAAAAAAAAATTCATTTCTTAAGCACTATTTCCCAAATACTACAGGATGTGTTCCAACAAAACAAGGGAAGAAAGCGTGGAAGAGATCCCACTGGAGAGATGAAGCAGAGATTCAGTAAGCCACAGACTGGAAAAGGGCTGGCTGGGGGCAGGCAGTTCTGTACCAGGCAGGAGGTTGTTAGTCCCGGTGAAAACAGAGAAGCTGCTCAGCTAGCCCTCCGGTGGATCTGCCTCCCACTGCCACGATCTACAGTCACCATCCACAGCCACTATCCACAGCCACCATCCACTGCCACCATCCACAGCCACGATCCACAGCCACCGTCCACTGCCACCATCCACTGTCACCATCCACAGCTATGATCCACTGCCACCACCCACAGCCACCATCCACAGCCACCATCCACTGTCACCATCCACAGCCACCGTCCACTGCCACCATCCACTGCCACCATCCACAGCTATGATCCACTGCCACCATCCACTGCCACCATCCACGGCCACCATCCACAGCCACCATCCACAACCACAATCCACAGCCACCATCCACTGCCACCATCCACAGCTATGATCCACTGCCACCACCCACAGCCACCATCCTCTGCCACCATCCACAGCCAACATCCACAGCCACCATCCACTGTCACCATCCACAGCCACAATCCACTGCCACCACCTACAGCCAACATCCACTGCCACCACCCACAGCCACCATCCACTGCCACCATCCACAGTCACCATCCACTGCCACCATCCACAGCCACCATCCACTGCCACCATCCACAGTCACCATCCACTGCCACCATCCACAGTCACCATCCACTGCCACCATCCACAGCCACCATCCACTGCCACCATCCACAGTCACCATCCACTGCCACCATCCACAGCCACCATCCACTGCCACCATCCACAGTCACCATCCACTGCCACCATCCACAGCTATGATCCACTGCCACCATCCA